TTGTTTTTTAACTTTTATTTTAGTTTAACTTATTTTTTTGTAAATTTTGTGTTATAATTTTTCATTGTTATAACTACAAATTATATAACTAGTATGTCTACTCAAAGATATGATTATGGATGTGAAAAACGTAAAAAGAAGAGAAAACAATATCAATTTATTGAATTTAAAAAAAGAGCACTTGATAATTTTTTTATTAGTGATAGACCAACTACAACAAAAAATTCAAATGATGATTCAACGATTGAACTATTAGATAATATAGCAAAATCAACGGAATGGCACAAAGATCTAAAAGAAAATAAAATTGGTAAAGAATGTGAACATGTTATTGAACTAGAAATTGGTAAATAATGTGAACTTGCTAATGACGTAGAAAGTGATGATTTAGATTTCATGAAAAGAGGCTATACTTGAAATGTAAACCACTATTTTGAGAAAAATGTAAAAATTATAGGAAAAAATAATTTGGTAATATAATTGAGACTGCAATAATATTATTAGTTGAAGAATCTTTTAGAATTGAGTATTTTTTTTATATAGTTGATCTTAGCTATTTCTTCGATCAATAATATATTTGAACAATTGAAAATATATGAAAATATTTTTGATCTTTTATTTTGTTTTAAAAAATTAAAATCCTTAGATGATGATAGTTTGAAAAGTTATTCTCTTAACCTTGCAAATTTTTTAAAGAATGACTTAATTTCTGATATTGATGGTTTAGATTTATTTCAAGAATTGACTGTATTAAGAAAAGTCCTACAATGTGAAATTAATGCTCCAGCTAAAGCCTTAACTTATATAAAACGATTAGATTCTTTTTCAAATGCATGTATAACTTTTAGAATATTGTTAACAATACTAGTAATAGTTGTTTCGGTAGAGAAACTTTTTTTAAAACTTAAATTAATAAAATTTTATCTCCGATCAACTATGTCATAAGAAAGATTAAATGGATTAGTTATATTATCCATTGAAAAAAATATATTAACAAAACTTGAATATAAAAATTTAATCAATTTTTTACTTCTCAAAAAGATAGAAAAATATCTTTTAAATGAATATATTTTAATAATTATTGCCTATAAATAAGGCCTCCGGATTTGTTGGGTTGCCCCTTATGTGTTTCTTTGTTTTCCACTTTCTAAATTGATTGTTTGATATATAGAATTTGGATGATATTTGATTATGTATGTTAAAATTTTTGAAAGCTCTTTATTTAGATATGAGAATTTTAAATGATCTTAGTGATTTAATTTTATGACGTTGAATGTCTGTTTAAATTTGGTGAATTTTAGCAAAAGTAAAATCGAGTTAAGAATACAGAGAAAATGGATATAAGCCTTCGAGCAGGTAGAGGGTTAACCCGGCTAGCATGCTAACTATAACATTGAACCACCAAGGTCCAACCAAAAAGAGAGTGTCGACGGCTCTATCTCAGAACGACGACGAAGAGAACCTATAATGAGGGTATCCATACTCGACAAAGCATATGAACTTTACCTGGATTTATTAACAAAAAAAACTCTAAAAAATAAAATTTTTAACAATTTTTGAATTTATTAATTCGTGGGACCCTATGATAGACGATACAGTAGGGGTGTCAATGGGTCGGTCTGGGCTAGGTTTGCGAAATTTTTTCTTGTTCAGCTTGGATTGTGTAAGTTCAAGCCCTTTTCCAAGTGAGTTATCAGATGGGTTGGGCCAGCTTGGACTTCGGGTAGGGGTAGGGGTAGACTATTCACAATCCGACCCGCGAGCCTATTAGACGGACTTGCTCAAAGGTTTTTTTATATATAATTTTATTTAAAAATAATGAATATTTTTATAACTTAATATTTGTGTAAATTATATATTTGAACAAAAAATAGAGTCAAAATAAATAAAAATAAAATAATGAATTAGTGTAACTTTTTTTCAAACGAATGATGGGCGGACGAGTGGGCTCTTGGGCCAGATTTTTTCGAGTGAGTTATTGGGCAAGGCTTCGAGTAGGGTAATGGGTTTGGGGGCAACTCAAATGGTTTTTTGGGTATTGGTACAATTTTTTAGACTTATTTGAGCAAAAGTGTAAGAATAAGTTATTTATTCTATTAAGTATAATTTTTATAAAATTTTTTGTATTTAGATACAAAATTCAAAATGAATTAAATTTTTTTTTACCTAAATACCCTTCCTTAATTTATGCAGCCATCATTGACAGTTATTTGAGGAAACAAATATGTAAAAATTAACAATAATAACGAGAGGTAAAATAAGAGTTTACCAAGAGTGAGAGAGAGTAAAAACAGAGGTATTTCGTGTTATATATATATAACCTTACTTCCACGTCATCTGACTAAAAGGAATAAAATCTTTTACTATAATGATTGATCAAACTCTGAATTTTTTCAAAAAAAAAAATAGAAAATCGGTCAAGATGTTTTGTTAGATATTATGTATTGTTCGTTGTTGGGATGTAGGAAAAAAAAAAGAACTTTTTTGTTTTTTTTAATAAGTGTAACTATTTTTTTAATGAGTGTAAATATTTTTTTAATGGGTATAACTATTTTTTTAATGGGTATAACTATTTTTTTAATGAGTGTAACAATTTTTTTAATGTGTATAACTGTGTTTTAATGGGTATAACTGTGTTTCAATGGGTGTAACAATCACAGTCTCATACAATTGTTAAGGCATGATGATGTAACGATGCCGCAATACTAAATGATGCAACTATTTAGTTTATGCAAACAATTGAATGACAAATTGAGTTGATGTCATAATTTTGTGTAATTGTTTTGTATAAATATTTGGTTTATTAAAACACATGAATAACTGTTTGGTATATTATATGAGAATTGTAACTTATTGATATAACTGAATTAGTATAATTGCGTTGTTCTATATTAATATAAATAGAGTAAGAGAAAATAAGGAGAGAGAGAGAGAGAGAGAGAGAGAAATTGTTAGAAAAAATATGACAATATTTTATCTCCTATTACTTGATTGTAACAAAAAAAAAAAGAATACAAAAGAATTTCTATCCATATGTTGTTTACTGATGACAATAGTGACATTTTTAAAAAATATGTAATTTATCCCAAATAAGTTTTTAACTTGTACTTTTGTCCAAATAAGTCTAAAAAATTATACCGACTTCTAGATTCCCTAATCTCAAACTCTTTTTTTAAAGATACTAAGTTCTAACTCAAACGAACTAATTATCAGATTTACTAAATTTCAAATTTATTTCTTTTGAGCCAAATAACGAGACCATGAGGTAAGGAAAATTACACTTGATCTTTGGTCCACCAAAGAGTAAGCAATGATACGGCAACGCTTGTATAGAGCCGAGTATTTAACGATACAGCAGAAACGGTTCTCTTTAATGAGTAAGTTTCGTGGGTAGGACAGCAGGACGAATGCATGGAGATGACGCATGCTTAACGTAATTTTATTGTCTGTACTGTTTTAGTTCCCTGACTCGAATTGTTTGCTGCGGCCAGCTGGTCATTGACTGTCTAACCTTTTACTAATTTTCACACTTTTTTAGAAAAAAAATAAAAAAACGGAACATATGGTTAAACCACAAAATGATACTTAATATTTTTAGGGTAATATTATTTATTCTTAAAAATATGATCTTATTTACTGACTTAGTAATATAATTTCATTGGAACTATTATATTATATGAAGAATAAATTCTAATATTTGATAGGACCCATAATTAATTCAAAAATTATAATAAATAAAATCAACAAATGAGATTAAATTTTTAATTCTAAATAGTATTATTCATATTTTTAATGTTTTCTAACTTTTTATGTGCTAGGTAAAAAAAGAGAAAAAAAACAAAAAAATATAATATAATATAAATCATAACAGTGAACTACCTAACAGTTAACTATCCGATAATAAACTAAAAATTTAATGTGTTTTGTTATATATTATGAAGGGAAGATCTTAGTTGAATTTTTAGTTGCCTGTCCATTCTAAATTTTTACGCTTCCTTCACCGCCAACTCCACCGCCTCCTCCCATATGTCCTCCGCTGAGATCAATTCCATTGCCGCCGTCCTCCTCGAAGAAAATCACACAGATGCCGAATCGACAGAACCAACGGCAACATAGCACAAAACAATCAATGCCACTGCATCAACTTTAATATTGTAAATCCAAGCACAAGTTGAGTGAAATAATATATTTTTCGGAAGACCGAGATCGAACCCTTAGAGAATTGTAAAATAGCAACAATCACACAAATACTATAATAAACTTGTGAAAACAATTTGTGTAAAAGTTGAGAATATTGATTTAAGTAATTAAAACATTAAAGTAAAAATGCTAGAGCATCAGGTACTCCCTCTTAATTCTATACAATAATAATTAAAGACTTAATTCTTAACTTTAGACAAGAATCAAATGTAAATTGATTCAAATCACAGAATTAAACAATAAAATCACAATTTATAATCAAAGAATTATTTAGAAACTTGAATAATCAACTTATTTCGTTTGGCAAGCTTGTATTGTTTGTGAATTAGCTTTGTGATATAGCCTTTTTGAATTAAAAAGCTTGTTTTGTTTATTATTTTTTTAGCGATAGATTTCTTCCTTTATTTTTTTGATTCCGTCTTTTCTTTTTTTGGTTTTGATAGAGTTTTTTTTCTTGTTTTCTTTCCTTATTTATTAAAGGGGTGTATATATCATAGATTAAATTTAGTTACTAATAGATAGGTATAGAAAGGATGAACTTAATAATTAGATAATAAAAAAAAATGGTATGAGAATGAATATTTTTGTGGTGAGCACCTTATCAAATTTGGCACACTTTATTTCTGGAGTATTTGTGGGTGGGCCTATTAGTCGAACCTCATTTACAAGTCAGCCCATCAGGCTTATTGGGTTGGGTGGGCGGCAAGAAATTGATCTGTAGGGCCATCAGTTGGGCTATTGAGCTGGCCCGCAAATTGATAGTGAAATTGTGATTGCCACTCACCTCAGATGGAGAACAGGATACAGAAGTCTCGAATTGGAAGACGATACAAGAACAGGAGCCCTCTCTCTCATCAACATGGACATGGTTTCATTTCGTGGAACCTAAGAAGAGCTTAAGAAATAGAGGGTGGGTAAGGGTTTAAACGGCAGAGAGATGAGGAGGCTATGCTTTGTCCAACCCTTTTCAGAGGCTTTTGTGAAGATTCCAAATTCACTATGGCTTCTCCAAACCCTTTCATTTTCACACACTCCTCCTTCCAAGACATCAAAGCTCGCCCCCCTTCAGGTTTACTCTCTCCCTCTCTCTGTGCACTTCGCACACTCAGAAATCAGAATGGTTTATTCGATTCTTCTATGACAGGAGGGGAAAATGATAGATCGGTTTAAGCTATGGGCGAAAGGAGGGGATGGGGGCAATGGTTGTTCCAGCTTTCACCGTAGCCGACACGATCGCCATGGTCGACCTGATGGTGGGTTTCTCTGATACAAGCAACTATGACCATTATATGGTCGAATAGTCTCTTCTTTTTCCTCTCTCATGAAATTGAGTTTCATGATTTCATTCCAGTCTACTTTAAAGCTTTGATTTTCTTTAAAATAACATACCACTCCTTTGCAATTATGCTCTCTATCAGTTGAATGACTTAATCTGCCTACTAATTTTATGTTCAAATAGTTATGAGCTCTAACCCTCACAAGTCTAAGGGCTTTTGGATCAACGGTTTGGTTCATAACAATTGGTATCGGTGTCATGAGTTCGAGTCATGGAAGACCTATAGGCTGGTTGGGCATAGTGCTATCGCGTTGGATAATGTTAGGTGAGTGAAGCCGAAAAGGCTACTGTTGGGTCATGGGCCAATGTCGATAGAGTGGATAGTGTAGTGGAATGTTATGTTCAAATAGTTATGAGTCTAACCTCCACAAGTCTAAGCCCCCACTACTCCCGGGGCTTTTGGATCAATGGTTTGGTTCATAACACTTGACTTAATCTGGTACTTTAATTTCTTTATAAACGTCAATTTTGTTCAGGAAGGCATACAAATTCTTTAGGAAAATAAGAAAAATCTTATTGTTCTTTCTTTCTTCTTCTTTTTTCGTTCCCCCTCATCAATCTCTGGAATTGAATTAATGCAGGTGGGAATGGTGGGAGAGGTGGTGACGTAGTACTAGAATGTTCTCCCACGGTGTGGGACTTTAGCGGTCTGCAACATCATCTTGTGTGTAACTCTTCCCTCTTCTCCTGCCTTATTGGCCTCTTATTTTTGCCTTCTCCTTTCTTTTCTTTCCTTTCCTTTCCCTTCACTGTTTTTTTCCTTTTTTTTTGGGATTGATGGTGTGACTTTCATGGTGTTTTGCAGAATGCAAAGAGAGGGGGACATGGAGCTTCCAAAAACAAGATAGGAACCCGAGGGGCTGACAAGGTTTCATTTTATTAGCTTTCTGTACACCTTGCTGATTTCCGTTATCTCTATACAATTGGACTCTAAACTAAATTAGAATGCTTCTTTCATGAGAGATTACATGTCTGGTAGGTCGTCCTAGTACCTGTTGGCACTGTTATTCATCTTTTAGAGGGTGACATTCCTTCTGTAGTTGAGAACAGTTCCTCTGCAGCTCTGGACCCATGGGAGATTCCTGGTACTCTCGACGGTGATCTATCTGAATCTGCTCGACAATCCTTCCCACCTACCACCACTGGCATAAAGGCAGTGGATATCAATGGCGGCTTATCATCTTTTACCAGTAAAGCAATTGTGGCAGATTCTGCTAGTACAAAGCAAGGGACTTGGGCTCCATCAATTGAATCACTTCCTCAAACTTTGCCTTCTGGTGAAAAATCCAGAGTTCACGCAGAAGGTGCTATATGTGGGAATGAAGAAGGCCAAAGTCAGTGGGATGGTCTGGACACTGATGACGGTACTTCTGAAGTTTTGGATGCTGATGATGGCATTTCTGAAGCAGAAAAGGAAGAAAAGGAACACATACAATATAACATTGCAGAATTAACAGAACCAGATCAACGCGTAATTGTTGCTTGTGGAGGGGATGGTGGCTCAGGGAATATTTCTTCCACTAAAGCTTTTAAAAAGCCTAGCCTTGGGAAGCCTGGGAATCTAAAGGATAAAGGCTTTGGTTCTGAAGTTTCTAATGATGATCAACATTCATCACTTAGTGCTGGTTTGCCTGGTTCTGAGGTTCTTCTTCTGTTAGAACTCAAGAGTATCGCTGATGTGGGCCTTGTGGGGATGCCAAATGCTGGGAAAAGTACTCTTCTAGGTGCCATATCAAGGGCTAAGCCCAGAGTAGGCCATTATGCCTTTACAACTTTGAGGCCAAATTTAGGAAATCTAAATTATGATGATTTCTCATTCACGGTGGCCGACATTCCCGGACTAATAAGGGGAGCTCATGGAAATCGTGGACTTGGACATGCTTTTCTGCGTCACATAGAACGCACAAAAGTTCTTGCTTTTGTGTTGGACCTGGCTGCAGCATTGGATGGTAGAAAAGGAATCCAACCATGGGAACAGTTGAAAGATTTAATCTTGGAGCTTGAATTTTATCGCGAGGGTTTGTCAGATCGACCGTCCTTGGTAGTGGCAAATAAAATTGACGAGGCAGGGGCTGAAGAAGTGTATGAAGAATTAAGAAGAAGGGTGTCCGGTGTTCCTATTTTTCCAGTTTGTGCAGTTCTGGAGGAAGGGATATCAGAGCTAAAATCTGGTCTTAGAATGCTTGTTAATGGTGGAGAATCGTACAGACTCAATGTAGATGGTATTGTGCTTGACTAAGCTGTTATTTATACACTGATTTCATACAGCTGAAGAATGCTCCCTTCAAGGCACATCTTTGACTAGTATACACGGGCTTCTAAGAGGATTATTTAGTCAACCAATGCAACAGAGTGTATGACTAAAAAATCAGTCCTTGGCCTTTTAGTTTCAGATGAGATGACACTGTTGTTTTGATATTAATATGTTTGCAGATCAACATCATACCGTGGATGGCCTGAGTAATATTTAATATAGTGGGCAATCTTCCTTACAAATCTCTGCAAGAATAATATGTTGTGGAAGAGGCTTTTCTGTGAATTTTCCTCTCTAGTTGAAGAGATATAGTGGCCACACAAGATTGTAAACCGCCTTTTCTAATCTGAAAATCATTCACATGATAAAGGTTCTGCATTTTTTGTTTGTGTTAGTATCCAATTTGCTTACTAAATATGACCTTTCGCTTTTGTTGGCTATGTTTGTTGTGTGTCGTGCTCACATTTCATCTCTAGTCGCAAGTAACATCAAGATTACGATAAAATTCAACATTGTTATTCAAGGGCTTGGATAATATTATGTCGCAGTTTTCAAAAGTTTGAATTTTGGTCCTTGAGCAGTGAATGCAATTTCCAGAATGTATATCGGACTCCTGTTTGGTTTTTCACGTCCTTACTATCCCCGATGGTATAAAAAGGTAGCTGTGTGGTTAAGTGGATGCAAGAGTATCTACTCTCTATGATATTGTAAGACGCCCACATGTTGCAGGTCTCACTTTATAGTTAAAGCACCTATATGATGTTAGATATGTGTATTCTCGTGTTCGATCCACACACACCGCATTTGATTCTATTTCTCCAAATTGTTGCGATAAAGTTTTGTTGACTTGAGCTGAGTTGATGTATAGTGTTTTCAGCATACCTTTTAACAGTGGAATCACAGGATGAGTTCATTTGTGTGTGGTGGGGGTGGGGTTTGAACCACCTTTGGACCGGGTTGGTGAATGAGATTAAGGAAATTACACTCCATCAGAATGATTCACTCTATAAGGCGTTGTTTATGAACATTCCAAGCGAGATCCATCCACAGTGTGGGTCAATATCCGAGGCAACTGTGATATTATGTCACATAAAGTTACAAGCAGGGTGGCAATACTATAATTAATTATAAATTTGGGTATTGCATATACATATTAACAACTCGGCACAGATGTGGTGTAGTAGATGATGAGGACTCATATCAAACAAAGCAACGATACAATAAGCTCAATGTTATTGATTCTAATTATTAGAAAAAAAATGTTATCATTCGTAAAAATTAGTTGGGATCAATCTCAATTTGATGGATTGATCTTAGATTGATCATATTGAGTTGTGAATTGTTAAAGAGAATTGAGAGATATAAAAACAATATGGTACGGAAAGTTTTGACACTGTTGAAAGATCGTTAGATCAGATAAAAATTAATATATCCCAATCAGTGAAACAAAGTAAAAAGCCCACGACAGTCTCATGCCTTGACTCTCAACGAGAAGCATGCAAACCATAGTCCTCCTGTGTCAACGGAGGGTCTTTCAAACCTTACGTCGAACACTTGCTATCCACCAAAGTCATCCTGCTTTCCACTATTGCACCCAAACACCAATCAATTCGTGCGACAACAGTTCGGAATCAGACAGAAAAGAAGAAGAACCAAAGAGCTTAAGTTGGAGGATCGAGAGGCTACCAAAGGGAGAGTCGGTTGGCTCTGCCTTCCAGAGCTGGATGGGTGATGGCTTCCCCATTCATAGAGGCCATATTTTCCACATAATCAACCGTTTAAGGAAGCTCCAATCAAACAAACGTGCGCTTCAGGTTCTTCTCTGTTTGGAGACATTTACACATGCATACTACCTGTTTGTCTAAATGCTTCAGTTAAATAATCCCAAGTGCGTAAATATAAGCGAAACGGTCCATTGTTTGGTACAATGGTAAAATGCTTATACTGCCAAGTGTGAGAACGTGGGTTTTGAGTCTGGAAGCAATCACTTGTGCAGATTGTGCCAACCTTATTCCCGTCTCACCTATCAACACCCTGTTTTGGTAAATCAACACTTGAGTTATGGCCTTTACTTTTCATTTCATGATTCTGAGTTATACATTTATATGGGATTGTGTTGCCAATTGCTTGCTATAAGTTACATTACATGGTTATATAGGAAAAAGCAAGATCTGAAATATGGAATAGCAGCATTAACCCCTTATTTGTTTAATCACCTTTACGAAGAAATATGCATAATTAGATACTTAAATTTTGAGTTTGCACAATTGTTGCTACTGACAGGTGATGGAATGGGTGATCAGGGAGAGGCCGTATAGGCCAAAAGAACTAGACTACTCCTATCTATTGGAATTCACAACTAAGCTTCATGGGGTATCACAAGGCGAGAGCCTCTTCTCTCACATCCCAACCAAGTTTCAAAAGGATTTGCTCTACAACAATCTTGTAATTGCATGCTTAGATAAGGGCATGATAAGCCTTTCCAATGCATACATGAAGAAAATGAGAGAACTGGGTCATCCCATCTCGCACTTGGCTTTCAACCGTCTCATTATTCTTCATTCCTCCCCTAGCCGTAAGAAAGTCATTCCAAAAATCCTCACTCAAATGAAAGCTGATAGGGTGGCTCCCCATGTTTCCACTTATAACATTCTTTTGAAAATGGAAGCTAATGAACACAACATTGAAGGCTTGGTAAAGGTGTTTGGTGACATGAAGCGAGCAAAAGTTGAGCCAAATGAGGTATCTTACTGTATATTAGCCAGTGCACATGCTGTGGCACGGTTTTACACTGTGTGTGAGGCCTATGTTGAAGAGGTAGAGAAGTCTATGATGGGAAATAACTGGTCTACATTAGATATCCTTGTTATACTGTATGGATATTTGGGGAAGAAAAAGGAGCTAGAACGAACTTGGGGCATTGTGCAAGAACTTCCACATATTAGGTCTAAGAGTTTTATTCTGGCAGTAGAAGCATATGGTAAGATTGGAGAGCTAAGTCGAGCCGAAGAGATTTGGGCAGAAATGAAGTCAAAAAAGGGGTTGAAATCAACTGATCAGTTCAACTCAGTGATATCAGTTTACTGCAAACATGGGCTTATTAGTAAAGCCACTGGACTGTATAGAGAAATGGAGAGCAGTGAATGCAAACCAAATGCCATAACTTTTAGACATCTTGCGTTGGGTTGCTTGAAAGCGGGTTTGATGAAGGAAGCTCTGAAAACTCTGAACTTGGGGATGGATCTGACGACAAGCACCAGGGTCAGGAAATCAACCCCATGGCTAGAGACAACATTTTCAATAGTTGAAATTTTTGCAGGGAGGGGTGATGTAGAAAATGTTGAGAAGTTGTTTGAAGAGTTGAAGAAAGCAAATTATACTAGGCACACTTTTGTTTATAATACCTTGATTAAAGCTTATGTTAAGGCCAAGATTTATGACCCAAATCTTTTGAGAAGGATGATTCTAGGAGGGTCTAGGCCTGATTCTGAGACCTATAACCTGTTGAAACTCATTGAACAGTTTCAAGCCTGATGGTAATTACTATAGACCTGTTGTATTCTAATTCTTTTCCCATTGTTTCTCCCAGAAACAAAAGATAATCAATGTTATTGAAAGAAAATAAAAGGAAATTTGGAGGATGATCATGCAGCGGGTGGCTCTGAAAACTAATGGTATAATTTTCGATTATTCTTCTTCTGCTTGCTACCATGTGAGGATATGTTGTAATGCTGGGAAAAAAATTCAGATTCTGCTCATTGGCTTTTAGGGGTTTGTTATATCGGAGATGCTGATGATCATGCAGCGGGTGGCTCTGAAAACTAATGGTATAATTTTCGATTATTCTTCTTCTGCTTGCTACCATGTGAGGATATGTTGTAATGCTGGGAAAAAAATTCAGATTCTGCTCATTGGCTTTTAGGGTTTGTTATATCGGAGATGCTGATGATCATGCAGCGGGTGGCTCTGAAAACTAATGGTATAATTTTCGATTATTCTTCTTCTGCTTGCTACCATGTGAGGATATGTTGTAATGCTGGGAAAAAAATTCAGATTCTGCTCATTGGCTTTTAGGGGTTTGTTATATCGGAGATGCTGAGAGAAGAATACTTCCTTTTAAGTAACCCATCGATGTCTTGATTACGAATGATTTGTTATTTTAACTTTAGGACCACGTTCTAAGCTTGTAAGGGCCAACTTTTCCGATGGAAGTCCTCGTAGTTTGCAGCGTGGTCCATAGAACAGGTAAGTCCCATTTAATGGAAACAATCAATCTAAAATGCTCTGTTCACTTTTACTTAAAGCAGTGACGAGTTTCCAACATGGTCAGCACAACTTGTGGGAATTTATTTATTTGTTACAGGGTATCAGATTTGCGCTATTATTTTCTTGTGCTATGAGACCGGCTATCGTAGTTCGAACTAGTTTAAAGATATGTCTATTGAGGAATAAGAGTGACTGACTTCTAGGAGGTATGAAAAATATCGAACATGAGACCTTTTACTTACAAATGACAGATTTGACCAATGAACCATTTTAAAAATTTATGGGAACTGATTTAATTGTACAACAAGAGATGAAATGTTAACTCACAAGAAGTCCTATGGTTGCATAAAAGTTTGATTATCCAATAATACAACTTGGGTTAAGAATTTGAGTTGAACTAAATTCATTAATTTTGGATTGAGTTTGAATTAAATTTTGATAACTCAATGGTCCAACTTGATTACTCTTCGAATTTGAATGAAGTTTTTTTTCTCCCATTCCCAAGTCGAATTTGCAGTGAACTCTACTTATGAAATACCAAAATTTCATAATAGATGGTGAAGTCTTTCCTTTTTGTTTCCAATGAAATTTAAACAAAATTACCAAAACACCATCCAAACTCAAATAAACTCGATCAAAATTTTGTTAGAGTAACTCCAAGGAGGAGTGCCATCAAGGTTGGCAACCCTATACTTGTAAAAATGTCACTCTAAATTTAAAATTTTTTACTCCAACAGAGGGTGACATCAAGGATGGCAACCCTATAGTTGTTAAAATGCCACTTTAAATTTAAAATTTTTCACTCCAACAGAAGGTGACATCAAGGGTTAGAAAAATGACATTTAATACTCTTGAGGTGGCAATTTTGACAACTTTGGGAGAGGTTGCAAATATGTTTAATTATATTTTTTAAGAGCAACTCCAAGGGGATACTCGTTCAAATATATTAAAATATTTTGGCAATAATAAAAAAATATTAAAATATTAAAATAACACTTTATTTTGACACTTGTCATTAAAACAGATTTATAATTCAAGAATGCCAAAATATTATTCAAAATTACAAATAATTGATTTGACACTCCAAAAGGGCAACTTTTTTGGAGTTGCTCTTAATACATTATTTCAAACACTTGAAAAACACAGGATGATTTCATATTTGTTTT